CTGTGGAGTAGATGATACTATTACTATTCATGCTTTGTAGATAAGGATATTGAAGTCTAAAAGTTAAGCAACTTGCTTAAGGTTCTACAGCTGTGATGTAGGGAGTAGCTCCAAAGTGGATGTGCTCTTAACCACAGTGTGCCCTCTATGCCCAGAGAAGGGTGTTGTTCCCCCCTATGCTAGGGAATCAGTATGTACTAAGCCATGTTTATAAGAACACATTTGCCTATTCGTGGGGTTGCAGGAAGGTCATTGTGATGGGAGGTTACTTTGGAAATGAGAGTACAAGGCTCTCGGAAGGGTGGCAGAGGACCTCATTTGTTTCCCATGCTAATGCACTTAGAATTTGGCTTGAGAACGAGGGTGGTGGGGTGTCACTGGGCAAAGGAGTACACATTTGCATTTAGAACAGATATTTTGAGGACTGTGGAAAATGCATTGGCATTGGCATGAAACAGTATGGAAGACAGAGGCAGGGAGCCAGTTTGGAAGTCTGGCAATGGTTCAAGGGATGGGGTGAGGGTGTACTTCATTTATTCAAAAGATTTTGGATTTAGAAGCTATTGAATAGGTTAACTTAACAAGATGTCTCCATGGCTAAAGAAAGAGCTAGGAATCTAACTTGATTTATGGGACCAAGTCTGATTGACTAGTACATAATTGTAAAATATTTTAGGGAGGTAAAGATTGGGAACTAGTTTTGGGACATGGTTAATTTTTAACTGACTGTATACAGTAACTCTGCATGCATTAGAAGAAAGGCAGAGTCTGGTTGAGTAAGAAAATGTGCTGATTGTTAAAATGATGAGACACCATGACTAAGGTAAATTCGTTTTTAAAAAAGCATTGAGTAGGAGCTTGCCTACAGTTTCGGAGGGTGAATCCATGGCCATCATGCTGGGGAACATGATAACAGTATGTAGGCCTGGTGCTGGAGCAGTATTGTTGAGCTTACACATTGACATCAGGAGGGAGAGGGAGAATCAACTAGAGTAGTTTGGGTTTTTGAAACCCCAAAGCCCATCCCTGGTGACATACCACCAATAAAGCCATATTTCCTAATCCTTCCCAAACAGTTCCACCAACTAGGAAGCAAGCTTCAAACATGGGAGCCTATGGAGCCATTCTCATTAAAACCCACATCAGGAACACTAATATTTAGTAAGAGCCAAAGACTAGCTTTTAAAAAGGTAGGGCAAGATGGAGGACATTTTGTAATCAAAAAGATTATTAGGGGTGGAGGGAGAAAGTAAGAAAAAAAATGAGGAACTGCTCCCTGGCTTGAGTATTATGGAGAAGTCAAGACAAGCTGACCCTCATGAACTGGATTATTCGCATGCTGTGATTTGAGGAAGAGCTGTAGCAGTGGTAGGATAATAGAGCACAGACTGAAGTCCTCTAGACACAGAGTTTGGCAGTACACTGAGGTCAAGAAATGCACACCTATCGTTATCTTAGGATGCTGGGAAAGAGAGATGACTATGTGGCACTTTTAAAATTTGATGATATACAGTTATTAAAAGATGACTTAAACAAAACAAAACAACAACAACAACAAACACTCCATAAATGGAACCAGAGGGTATGGAATCTGGCAGCTTGTGAGTCCTCTAGATGATGGTCTAGAGTCAGCAATTGAAATGGGCTCTGAGTGTAGGAGTTAAGTTCTGGAAGGGAGGGGAAAAACCTATGGATAAAGGGAAGATGAACACCCTGTGCCTGCAGGTGAGTTTATGTGGGAAGTGTTCTGAGCTTCTGGCTTCAGAAGGTGAGAATCAGAAGGTGAATTGTTTAAGAGTCATTAGAAAGGGGGAAATTATACAAGGGATGTCTAAAACCATTTGGGACCCAGATGAGCAGTGACTATAGGGTAATCTCCTGTTCTCTGGTAGCAATGTGAATTTCTTAGAAACCTGCTAGGCAGGTTGATTTTCTGCCTTCTACCGCACTTTGTTCTTGCAGAAAGAGCCACACTTGTGACCTTAGAATTCCCATATGAGAATTCTAAGCACCTTGAGATAAGTCCCACTTATTTTTTTTCATTATCACATCCCTCCATCCTGGCAGTGTTTCATCCAGGTTATTCTTAACAACACTGATTGCATCTCTGAGTTTCTGAGATGAACGCGTGTACTGTAACATATGGAATATGGATCAGACCTCTGCCACTGCACAGGGAGGTTTCCGTTGACTCTGTATTCATGTATTCATGGAAGTTGTGGCATCCAGTTTTTTTTTTTTTTTTGGTAATTTGCCTGTAACTCTGGCACCATCCCTGGTTAAGTTTACCTACTCTGTAGAATAGACTACTACAGCATATCTTATGTATATGAATTTTCCTGTGTTCATTATTTATGGTCATTTACTCTCTGGGTTAGCCATTTTTTTCTCACTTTGCTTGTCCATCAAGAGACAATGGGCAAAAGATAAAAGCCCATATCAGATGATGTTATTTAGTGTTTTTAATAAAATGATTGTATGTAAAGAAGTTGTCTTTAACATCTGGAGGTATATTTTGGGCTACTCTTGTTTACTAGTTATTATTGTGAAGGTTGCCTTGGTTAGCAAGGTCAAATTTACTTTTCACTTTATTGATAGTATATATTCTGTATAAATTGCTTTAGCTATGAAATGTTTTTACTGCAAGAAGTAATACAATACAGTGTATTCCTTGAAATATGTATAACAAGTTACAAAATTGTAGAGTGTTTGCCAGCCACTTCATTCTTACCTGGGGCCTTCTGGGGAACAAAAAATCTCACAGGATAACTGGGAGATCCACTTGTGTCTTCCAGAGAAGAATACTTTTGAAATGACTCATATGAATATAATTTTTAAACTTTTAAATGATTCATGCTACTATAAAATGGACATATATCAAAATTTTAATTGTAATTCTTAAAGAACAAATCAGAAAGTAGACAATCACTTTTGAAGACCAACTGGTAGAGCAGACACATTTATAGGCAAGCAAGAATCCTGAAAGAATTTATTAATGGACGCAAACTTGGTCAGTATTTTCTGTTTTTTTTTTTTTTAAGTGAAGTTGTTTGGAACCCACTTCCATGAGGTATAAATTGCTTACAAAACAAAATTTCTATCTTTGTAGAAAAATCTGTTCATGACCTTCAATCCCAACAATTTACACAGTTATAGATACCCAAGTTGAAATCAGTAGCAAAGCCCATCTAGAATCTGATGATTGCAGATCTGCTAGGTAGTGCCCACTGACAGGACACTCTGGGAACCTTCTGTTCATTTCAAAATCTTCACAGGTATTTTCTGATCCTTGCCTTCCTTTGTAGTTGTGACATCACCCCCTCCCCCATCTCTCTTTGTTCAATATGGTTCCTTGCCTTCAGTGGCTCTTTCTCCAGGGAAATAACTCAAAACTCCAAGGGTGTAGAAAACATAATTCGGGTTTTGCCTGGGGCTTCCTAATATGTGGGTGGCTAAAAATCTAGAGAAGTGGGAAAAGTGAGCCTGGATGCCCCAAGGCTGCTTTAAGTAGCACATTCCCAAGAGCATTCAGAAGACCCAGCTCATGACAGTAGATGGTACAGTGTCCAGTTTCATACTCTTGTCCTGTGTTAGTGCATCATAGTGTTGCTTAGGGAGCACTTCTTAGATTTTTTTTTTTTAATTTCCTGTGATGCTTGCCAGTGTCCTAGGAAGCCACCCACCGTTTGCTCTGATCCTCTTTATTAAACCATGCTCTAGAAAAGTGAATTACTTAAGACTACACTCCAGAGTGTGCCAGGCAGGGGGCATGCTTGGGCTTTACTTTTCTTGAATACAGTCTAGATTGTATTCCAGTATATGTCCTTATATTCAATTTGATGGTTATTTGTTAATCAAACTCTTATAGTAACATCTTATGCCCTTGATTTTATTTCTAGTTTACATAGAAGGAGGAAGTATTAAAGATTAATGAAGCTAATATTTTACATTCCTTGGTACTTTGGGTTTTGAAAGAAAAGTTAACAAGCTACTTAGATAAGAGCTTAGGCTGGGCATTGGTGGTGCACACCTTGAGAGCTTGGATAAATGGTCAAGTTATATAATGCAGCTGGAGTATCTCTGCATCTTGCAGTTTGAGCTAAATGGTGAGCCTTACATTTACTCTAGTCACCCAGGCACCTATGGTGAGTTTGCTACTCATGGCTTATGCCATTAAGAAGAGCCAATGAGTATACTCTACTTGTTAGCAGCATCTGTTCCTGGTTTCTTCTTTCTTGGCTTTTTGAGTAGTTTATGGTTTATTGGAGGAAGAAATACCTGTAATCTGCATTTCAAAATTGTTCTATATATTCAATGAAATGTCGGGGTAGGAAAATGCCATTCAATTGTGTGTAATCCTTTCTGAGACTTGCATACAAAATGCTATCGCTCTCTCTTTTGCAGTGGGAAATAGCCATGGAGAACATTTTTTTTTTTCCTCGTTAGTATTCTAAGACTTTCCATCCTCTTGGAAAGATAAGATTTGATTCATTCGAGTTGCTTTGTATATTAAAGTATAATAGAACTGGCCACTTTTTTTTGGGTTATGCAGCCTGAATGTAGAGATAAATTTCATATCACTTTAGCAAGTTCCATCTAGAAGAAGTATATAGAAGTTGAGCCCAGATATAATACTTGGCTTTTTGTACAGAATGTTTCCATATTAAGAAAAGTATTTTCCTACATATATCAGTAAGCAGATATGATGACTTCAGAGCTTTCAAAGCTAGATATTATACCTTGCATTTTCCAACACAGTTGGCGAATTTATTCCCAAGATGGACGGTAATGCATACCTTGTATTACTAAAACTGAATAAAGAACTTACAGTCTGCTAGCTGGTATACAAATAATTTATTGCTGTTTTTCACTTTGTTCCTATATTGCTTGTTTAAACGAACAAGTGAAGTATTTTCTTTACCTTAAGGGTTTGTAATACACCTAAGATAATATATCATATATGCAGTTTATAATGAAATATTTTTATGTCTGTTTTCCAGGTTCAGCTCAGCTACTGTTAAGTAAAATCAAATCTGTAGAATACACTATGTGCAATGAAACTGTCGTCATCCCTTGCATCGTCCTCAATGTGGAGACACAAAGCACCAAAGACATGCACGTGCAGTGGAAGTTAAACAAAACATCTATTTTCATCTATGATGGAACTAAAAACAACTCCATTGTAGAGAGTAACATTACCAGTGCAAAGATCTCAGTCTCCGACTTACTGAAAGGTGATGCCTCTTTGAAAATGGATCGGCAACAAGCTGTCGTGGGAAACTACACGTGTGAAGTTACAGAGTTATCCAGAGAAGGCAAAACAGTTATAGAGCTGAAATACCGTATGGGTAAGTGATGAAGTTTGCCTGTTCTGAAACTTGTGTTGAAAAAACGATTGTCACTGTCGAGTATGTTGAGGTGGGGCCTTGCAGAAGTCACAGTGAGAGATTAGGGAAGACATTTCTGGGGTGGCTGGGTCTATCATCCAGTGAGAAAGCAAGCCTGACTGTCTTGGTTTTTTTCCCCTTTCCCTCCAACACACTAACTCTTCATCCTGCCCTTCCACTGTGTTGTGTGGTAGCACAAAGACCCTTACCAGAGGTTGGGAGATGCCAACACCATGTCATGGAATCTCTCAGTCCCAGAACTAGGAACCAAAATTAGGCTGCTTATAGATTACCTCCCAGTACTCTTACAGCAGGAGAAAGCAGACTGAGTAAAAAAGTGTAGCTCCTCCTGGTGATTTCATCTTTTTGTGGTCTTAAAGACTTCATTCCTGACCAAGGATCAGACTGTTCTTCCACACTACCCTGACCCCTATAGGGCACAAGGAGAAAGGAGGTGGCAAATTAGGTACCATGCTGTTCCTGGAGTGAATGGCTAGCCTTGCTCCACTTGCCAGCATATTGGGTAAATGGGAACCCAACCTGAAGGAATTGAATTCAGTCTTGGTGATAGAGCTCACGGAAAGAGGCTCTCTTCATGAATGAGTTGTGGACAGCAGTACCGTTATCTGAAGTAAACACTCCTTACACTCCTCTCTTTTCTGTTTTTTTTTTTTTTTTTTTTTTTTTTTTTTTTGCTGTGCTGGCATTTTTTTTTTTAAATACAGAGAATCCTAACAGTTTTAAAGAGTGCATCTTGAGCCCTATTTAAACCATCAGGTGTATTACTGATCTCAGGGTTGATGACACTTTTAGAGAACCAGCTCTGGGTGGGATCAGGATGGCTGAATTAGGTCAGCTACTTTCCATCTGTTCCTGCTTTTAAAATTACAAAATGTTTGCTAGCAGATTGGGCAGGGGGGCAAGGTGGTGGAGGCTTGATTAAATATCCTGACATAGGATTAGAGATCAGGCAGTCTGAGCGACACACCCAGTTCAGGACTCACTGTTCACCCAATGTCTTGTGTCGTCACTGAGACCAAGCTGCATATCTCTAAACTGAGGGTGAGAATCATGTTTTCTCATGTTTATTGTGCATGTTTTCATCTTGCTGCCTGGAAGTCTGCTGGGAAAGGAAGGAATGACTTAGGAGGCAAGAAGAACTTGAAAGATCTTCTGCTCAGAATCTCACATATGCTGTTACTTTGGGATTGGTATTAATTTAGGTTAAAGAGCTTTAAAAAAAATGTGTGTGCCTTTCAGGACAGTCTGTTCCACGAGCAGTGTGCACAGGAAGAGGTCATCCAGTACCTAGTTGGAGGTTTTCTGTGAGAGTGGATAGGTTCATGGAACTAAAAGGGCTAGACAGACATGGGAACAGTGACTTTCAAGGCATTGTGGGTCACTGAGAAGAAGTGATAAAACCCATGAGCTTGAGAGTAAGAAAGCCAGAAATGGAATGGAGGTGAGTGGGAAGGGAATCCCAGCATCTGAGATGGAGATAGAGTTATTTTGTGTGTGATTGTTTTATTTTTGTTTTCAAAATACCCCCACAGAACTAAAAGACAGGCTTTGTTTTGTGCCATTAAGATGAGAAAATTTGGAAGGAGAAATTCTCCTGGAATTTTAAATAAACACACACACACACACACACACACACCTTATTGCATGGGAAGAATCAGAGGCAGAGACCTTCTGTGTACCCTTAATTCAGCCTCCCCCAGTGGTTGTATCTTATGGAGTTATGCCATGGTATCTGAACCAGGAAATTCACAGTTGTCCTGTGTACAGGAGGTTTTCTATTATTTCATCACACTTGGCTACCTACCATTGTGGTTGCTGTTTGGAGCTGGTCTAACAGCACAACATCCCAATGCTAACCCTCCAGGCACTCACAATAATTTCCATTATTCCTGACCGGCAGGCACTAAGTTCAGACTGTGCATACTAAGCAGACATCCTTATCTGTGACTTGGTCAATTCAATAAAAATTCATCAATGAAATTGTTAACGGATGATCTTCTAAGGTGTGCCCATTAAGCATGATGCCCTTGAGACAGTGGGTTTCTTGTGTTTGACTGTGTTTATTTGTTTGCTTGTTTGAGAATGTAACACATGTCCATGACACATATTAACCTAGTGGGTTTTTCACTGTGGTGTATTCTATGGAATTCTCATAGCCTGTTTAATCATTCACGTCTGCAAAGACATTTTTATCATTTTCAGTTTGTGATTACCCATTAAGTGTATGCCTAGTTTTTAAGGAAACCACAGACAGGTTCCCAGAGTTGGTATTCTTTTCACTATTGTCAGCAATATGAGTGACCTAATTTCTCTGCATATTTGCTGTGATCTGGTGCCACTGTTTTGCAACATTTCCCTTTTTAAAAATTGTGGGCTTTTTTTTTTTTTTTTAGTTTTTAAATTAGCATACAAGATACTAAGTATCATCATGGCATTTTTCAAAGTGTGTTTTAGAAGATTCTCTTGTCCTCTCATATCCCTACCCTATTACCCCTGATTCCCTCCTGGTAACTCCTCTCCCAGTCCTTTTACCTACTCTGATCACCTGTTTTTATCATCTCTTGCGCTCTCTCTCTCTCTCTCTCTCTCTCTCTCTCTCTCTCTCTCTCTCTCTCTCTCTCTCTCTTAGCATTTTAGGCTTTATTCACATTTATATCCATATACCCCACCACAAGGCAGGGTATGATCTGAATTTGAAAAAGAACATGTGTGTTTTGTCTCTCCCAAACCATCAATTTTTCTGCAAGCTTCATTGTTTTGTATTTTACAGCTGAATGAAATCCTATTGTGTATATGTACCACGTTTTCATTATCTATTCATTATTCATTTATGGCTAGTTTCAATTCCTTGCTATTGTGAGTAGTGCAGTAGTAACATGGGTATACAAGTGTCGCTGTGGTAAGTTATGCAATCATTTGGGTATATATTTAAGAGTTATAGTATAGTTAGTATAGTTGGGTCATACAATACTTCTTTATTCAAATATTTTGAGAAACTCCCATGTTCGTTTCCATAATGGCCATACTTGGTTGAACTCCCATCAGCACCGAATAAGGTTTTTTTCTCTGCATCCACATGAGTATCTGTTGTGAGATTGTTTGATGATAGCCATTCTGACTATGAGATGTTATCTCAGAGTGGCTTTAATTTGCAATTCCCTGAAGACTAAGACCAATATAAAACTTTAAAAAGTTGGCCGGGCGTTGGTGGCGCACACCTTTAATCCCAGCACTCAGGAGGCAGAGGCAGGTGGATCTCTGTGAGTTCCAGGCTAGCCTGGTCTACAGAGTGAATGCCAGGACAGACTTGAAAACAATATAGAGAAACACTGTCTCAAGAAACAAAAAAGCAAAAACAAAAAAAAAAAACAAAAAACAACAACAACAACAAAAAAAAATCCTTGTTGGCTATTTGTGTTTCTTCTTTTGATTCTTTTGAGAACTGTTCATTTAATAGCCTATTTATTGATTGACAGGTTCTTTTCTTATTATTCTTTAGTTTTCACTCTGTAAATTCTGATATTAGCCCCCTATTTGAAGTATAGCTGTTAAAGATCTTCTTCCATTCTATAGGCTGTTTCCTTGGCTGATAGTTTCCTTTTGCTGTACAGAAACTTTGATTTTATGTAGTTCCATCTGTTGATTGCTGGAGCTGGTTTCTGCACTATTACAGATCTGTGCAGAAAGTTCTTACCTAAACATTTATCTTGAGATGGATTCCTTACATTTTCTTTTAGCAGTTCCAATGTTTTAGCTGTTAAATTAAGGTCTTAGATTCACTCCTCCTAGCCAATTTTTGCACAGGGTGGAGGAAATGGATCTGAAGAGTCTACAGAAAGATAGCCAGTTTGGCTATCACCACCCTTTTCAATAAGCTGTCTTTTTTTCAGCTGCGTGTTTTGAAACCTTTGTTGGTTTCTTTGTTCTGATCCATTAGCCTCCCTGTCTGAGTTGTTTGCTGTATTTGTCACTATATCTTGGTAGCATGATTTTGAAGTCATAACTACAAAACCTCCAGCTATACTTTGCTCCTTAGGATTGCTTTGGCTATTTGTGGTCTTCTGTTGTTCCATGTGAAATTTCAGATTGTTCCCCCCCCCCCCCACTTCTTTGAAGAATAGCATCAGATTTTTATGTGTGTTGCATTGAATCTGTAAATTTCTTTTTTTATAATATTGACCTTTTTATGATACTAATTTCATCACACCAATAATATGGTCTTTCTATCATCTAGTATTTTCTTTGCTGTCTTTTGTCAATGTTTTGAAATTTTCATTGTTGACATTTTTTTACTCCCTTGGTTATTCTGTTCCTAACCATATTGAATAACAAAATAACATTTTTCTCCCTAATTTCCTTCTCTGTGAGTTCATTATGGATATTTGTTAAGGCTGCTGACTTTCACATATTTATTTTGTATCTTACAACTTTACTAAAAAATGTTTAGTTAATCTAAGAACTTAATGATAGATTCTATCAGGCCTTTCAAGTATATCTGCATGCCATCTGCAAACAGGGATAGTTTGACCTCTGTGCTTCCAGATTTTATTCTTTCGTGTCTTTCTCCTATCTGTTTGCTAAATCTTCCATCACCACATTGAATCAGAACAGTGAAGTGTGTATCACTGTCTAATTCTTGATTTTAGAGAAAATACTCTCAATTGTTCCCTGTTTACCATAATGTTGGTTCTAGGTTTGTATACATGCCATATATGTATCCTTAATGTCTCCAGAACTTTTTACTGTGAAGGCATGCTGAAGTTAGTCAGATATCTATTCTGCATCTTCTGAGATGATGACACAATCACTGTCCTTAAGTTTACTTATATGCTGTACACTTACTAATTTATATAGTTGAAACACCCTTGCATCCCTTGGATGAAGCCCCTTTGGTCATGATGTAGGATCTTCTTAATGTGTTCTTGTGTTTAAAAAATTGG